GCGAACTCCGCTGCCACGGCGGTGTCGACGGACGCAATGCACTGCGCAGCTCTGCAGTGAAACGAGCTTGCAGTGAGACACAAACGCAATGAAACAGGTAGCTTGCAGTGAAACAATGCTCCAGCCAAACACGCAGATGTGACTCGACTTCACACTCTGAGACTCTGGTTCTGGGCTGCGGTTCACTCAAACAATTAACTTTGTCAGTTGCAAGGGAACTCTTCAAGCAAAAATGCTGATACAACCCTTGCAAGTGTACTGTTCTTTCTTCGGATTCGGAGGTTCTCAAGCAATGGGTTCGACTTAGCACAAAGACTAAGGATTCCTTAACTTGACTCTATATGGAGGTTGGTCTAATGCCAAAGTGGTGGGGATGCAAAGGTCCAGGCAGTCCTATGAAAGCACAAAGGCCTTCTGCTGCAATTCACCCGAGACCTGAGACAAGTAAGGGGTCAGCGCAAGCCGGAGCTGACAGTTGCAAGTCACTCAGGGCACAAGGATGATATGTAGGGCTAAACAATCAAGTGATGGGCTTGGCTCTAACCTATCACGTGAAGCTTATATAACCGAAGGCAATATGGATGAGGCTGTTACCCAGTTAAACGCGGGATCCCAAACCTCAAAGACCCCGGTTTAATGAAACAGGCGCTCCTGTTTTCAACAGCTTGAGCCAAAAGTCAAGGTGCAAAACCAAAATGAAAATCTGTACTTAAGACAACACATGGAATGAATGAGTCATTCTGTACACACTCTTGGGGTCATATTCATTGATATACTTCTAACTAATGTAGATTCTTGATTAATACACCCCAAACGAAAAGGTTTTACCAAATAACATATTTGTGTTTCAGAAAATCAAGAGTCTACATCAGAATCCTCCATGTGTCCTCCATTCCCCCGTGCTGCCTGGCAGCAGGCTGATGGCCGCGCGGGTTGGCTTGCCGTAGGGCTTCAGTTGCCGCTTGAGACGGGACTCGGCAGCCGAGGCGAAATAGCCTGGCGGGCCCGCTGACCGCGTCGGGAGACCAAGACACCTGACCCTGGTGCCACTGACCATTGGCCAAAGTCAAAGTCTACGGCATTCGTTCTTTCTTTGAAGAAAACACTGGTAACCAGTCACCATGAAGTTTGTCCAGATTCTAGTTGTCTCAAAAAGATTTCCGTCCCAAATTGGCCGAGTAGATGTTTTTGGGACACTAGCATGTTTTATGGTCAACATTTGGCGGTCTTCCGATCCTGCACTAGTCTGCAGCAGGCCTTTTGAGGTAAAAACGACGCTAGAAATTCCGAATGAATTTGATCGTGTGCACACTATGCCTTCTGCCTAAGCTGGTACGAAGCTTGATTTGTCATGATGTCACGAGCGAACGTTGTCCCACCCCGCTTGGCCGAGTTCCAGTCCCAACGTTGGTTTCGGACCTGCAATGCTGCCAACGGAGACCACGCCCACAAAAAGAACCGGGCACATGAGCAGCCTGCCCGGGCACTCGGTGAGGCCAATGGAAACATCAAAAACTGTGCAGGGGGGGCGGTGCCCGCATGCTACCACCAAAGCAAGCATAGACATAAAAGGAAATGTAAACTTGTACTCCTGGCTACCACCACCAGGCCGTCTGAGGATCCTGCTTGGCGAGACAGCAGAGTGTCTTGAGCTTCCGACGAGCACTCTAGAACTATCTAGAACTTCACAGAAAGACACGCTGTTTTATCCCAAAAAGACTGAACAGAAAATGGGAGGCTCGGCTTGGTCCATCAAAACCTCATCGCGGAGGGGTGTAAGGCCTCATACTCTTGCTTGGAGCAAAGGCACCATAGCCCACAGTGCTGAGAGTGACCGTGGAGAAGTACAGACCATCAAGGATCGACTTCGATTCCTCGGGAGAGTGTGTTGAACTGGTTCTGGGAAAAACTAAAGCTACAACTCTCTACAACTACAAAGTAATACTACAACTACCAAGTCCAACCATCTGAACTATCTACAACTCCATCCTTTTCTCTTGAAATCCTCTCTCCGGAACCGGAGAAACGATGAGAGTTCCTCTCCAGTCCCACCTGGTGCACGACCGACGCTGATGCGTTGGTTTTGCCAAGCGACCTGATGGCCTCAGGGCGGCCGCGAAGGAACAACGAACAAGGCCCGGACCAGGGTGTCCCGTCCCACTGCGAATACCAGGTATACCAGTCGTTGGCAACCACTCATCTATTACGGGCCAGTTTTGGGGGCCGAAGGTGGGAGGACTTCGCCCTGACAGCAGTACCAGACAGTCGTGGTACTCAAAACGAATGGGTTTGGTGATTTTTTCCATTCCAACAGGGCAACACCCCCCATTATATAACCCGATGTCAAGGCAAGCGCCGGTGGAGGATGTCGCAGGTCCATGGCCAAGGCCCACCACCAACAAGAATGAGAGTCTGATCAATCTGAACAAGCCAACCGACCATCTGAGTGAAAGAGTCTTGCATCATCTTGCATTAGTTTGGCGCTTTTCCGCGAACCACCGCACTACCCCTGGCAGGTGCCACTCAACCGGCGAAAGCCGGGACGAAGGTACGCATGGTTTCTGAAAGCGCGGAGCGGTGACCGGGCAGAGGAGAAGAAAAAGAAACGTTTTGGTTGGCGAACCCCAACATGTTCCAACCAAACCTGAACCTCCAACTCTTCTCCAAGTGATGTGGTGAGAAGCCTAAAGCTATGCATTGAATGTTTCACACCTTCTGAACGACGCCGCGCTGCTGTAGCTCAGCGCCATGAGGATGATGAAGAACCCCAGCGCCGCGAAGTGCACCGCCAGCTGTGGAGCACGGAGAAGCCTGCGTCGGATGGAGTCGAATGGAGTCGCTTGGGTCCAAGAACGTTCAAGAACCACTGGTAGTTGAGCAAGGTGTTTATTTGAGCAAGTGAGTTCTTGCTAAGCTCCTAGTGTTCAATCAGGAAGCTTGAAAGTTTGGATCTTGGCAGATGCTCTTTCAAATGACAAATGATTCTTCTTGATGCATCTGTATCTATTGCGCCACAGTAATTTAGAGGGTTTGTGTTGTTTGGGGAGAATTAGGAAATACCTTCACCCCAACTAACACCTCCTGATGCTACTGACCAGCCAGGCAGGGAAGGACAAGTTTTGTGGGTCCACACCCTATTTCACACGATTTTTCACAGGAATACCCTCAGGTTAGAGACTGGGCCAAATCTTGGCTACTTCTTTGTTCTGTGCTCCTTTTGGTCAAGATCAACTGTTCCCCGACCTGAGACTTGGAAAGGATCACAGTAGAATCAGTAGAACAGCTTTTGGGCCTATCCCCGGAATCCCGGCTGTCCATGGCTGCCCCTACCCACCGGCGGCTCACAGATGGCCTGCCCACGCGTGTGACCTCTCGCTCCACTCGAGCTCCAACGATGCCCAGCACCGCGCTCACCTCAAAGCGGTGGCTGTTCGCTTGTCCTCAACAAGCCTGGTGAGGCACATTTAAAAAACTTATGGCCTCCTGGCGTTTGGGCATCTTTGGAATCCAGGGTGTGGTGAAATATCCCTCGGAACGAATCGTCCAATCGGCTGGTCCTCAACATCACCCAAATGTCTCAGCCGCTCACCGACCTCCAAAAGGGCAGACGTGCCTCTCTCTCTCTCTCTGCGCCAAAACACGCCAAGGCACTACCAGGACATTGGTCCAAATGAAGGTGATGCCAAGAAGTCGGCAGAGAGGAGACTCACAGGGGGTCAAATCACCATACCTTCCAAGTGTCACTGTCAGAGGCAAACAGAATCACCCCCCCCGAAAAAAAAGGGCGGGGCCGAACCGGGCGGCAGAATCTTCCAGCCCACATGTCTTCACTGGATGAAGCTCTACATGTGATGGTCGTTTTACGACTTTAAATGGGTGTTTTTTCGTGGCCGTTTTAGTTGGATGTTCTGTGCCAGGCGGCCCCACGGTTGTAAGTGTCACCATACAGAAGTAGAAGCCATCAAGGAAGGACCAATCCCCTGAACGAAGGAGCGCCAGGGTCGACATTTGGACATGTGCTTGGACTTAAAAAGAGACCGAAGCGACCATGAAAAGACCCTGAGACGCTGCAGTCTGGCATGCTCTAAGCTGTTCATTGAACTGAAGTGGTGATCAAGATATCTCCTCCGTGACTCCTACTTGTCTCACTTCAAGAATTATCTTCCAAACTTGACAAACATGGGCCTGCCAAAGAAGAGAAAACTGCCGCCCAGATGGCCAAATAGCTTCCAACAAAGACTGCTACGGCAAACTCCGCCTCAAACGGCACATAATGCCTCATCAGGTCAAGCGGAAGAAAGACAAGCAAAAAGCAAGTGACCGACATGATGGGTCATGTGAGGCCTGCAAGAGACCACCTATTTTGGGATGAGATTCTGGATACCCCCATCACGGAGTTCAGACCCGACCACAGCTCCCGGCCCCTCCTGTGAGGGATCTCAGGCAACGTCGGGGCTTTGCTGGTGATTGGAGACGCAAAGCGGTCCCTCGGCAACGGTACAACTGGAACTGGTCGTCGTTCCATGGCGTGTTCCGCACTGTGAGGCTGGTGTTGTTCAACAAAAGGCTTCTGCTTGTATCACATATTCGGGAGGTCAAAGAACTGAAGTGATGCAGGGAACTGTGTGGTATGCCACTTGGGGATTCAATAGAAAGCAACAGCGATGCTCGGGAAGAGCGATGTAGAACATCGGGCATAGAACCCATAGACCATCCCATGGGTCTTTCGGTCTTTCCAGCTTTTGAGGTGGGTGAGGGCGTTGAAACACAGCGGCAAACAGGCTGAAAGAGAGGCAGTTGGCAGTTTGTTTCAAGACCAAAAAAAGATGCACTCTATACATGTCTATGGTGTAGTCGTCCAACGTCTTCTCTGCCATTTTATCAACTTGAGCTGCCTGCACAGTTGGCATGTCTTGATGCACAAATGAATATCCCGATACACAAATGTGTCACCATCAGCTGAAGTGATTTCTGTGATTCCTACCTTCTCAAAGGCAAATTCCACCAAGAAACTTTTGAACTCCTTTCAAGCAACGAGTTGAAAACTCACCAAGTTTCTTGGGGCCGCTCAGTTCAAGCTACCCATCGAGGCTTTGCTCGAAGATAAAAACCATGACCATGTCAATCAAGCAAAAATTGGTCGTCTCGACCACTGTCACCGTCACTCGGTCCTTTTGATCAAAGCTTGCTGGGTGGAGTCTGCCGTTCCTTTCGGGACTTGGTGATTTCTTCTCGGATGTCTCTCTTTTGGATCTTTCCGGTGGCACCTGCAGACAGCCCCGAAGGAAACATGACAACGGAAGGAAAACAATGGAAAACTGCCAATCTGGTGTCTGAAAGAATCAAAAGCATAGAGTCTATGTGTGCAAGTCCCATGAAACCAACCAAACGACATGAAAAAGATACTTGCACTCACGTTCACATTCCTTGACAAAGGCTCAACAAAGACTTCGCTTCCATAAGTATCAGGCACAAGCCGCGGACAACGAGCGAACCTTTCGAACCCGCGGAGCACCCGGAACACTTCCCCCTCCGAAAAAGAACCGTCTGGACCCCTCCCCGCGAGCCTCGAGGCAAGGCCTCCTTCCACACAAAGACGTCCGACGGCACCTGGACCGATGCATTGGAGTCAGCGGTGTTTTTCCATCGGTTTCAAGGTGGCCAATCGAAGGACCCTTGTGCCAAGAAGAATTGATTTAAACAATTTCAATAGAAGTAAAAACACAATGAAAAAACTGTGGAGGAAGGGTCTGCCTGTTCTAAAACACTCCCATACAGGTTGTCATCCCTCTCGTTGGAGGATCCCTTAAGTGTGAACCCCTCAACAGCAATATTGAGGACATCCTCGTTCACTTGGTCTAAAGATTCCTGGTCACTTTGGTAACGATCTGCACTAAGAATTAAGAATATATAAATCAAAGAAAGAACATTGAGGCCGAGGCTTAACTAGCATACTCCCAGACTAACCTGGACAAACCAAACACCACCTCTGCAATGCAACAGTGTCGAGTCTTCACAGGGTCCCTTTTCCATCTCCGTGTGAGGAAGGACACGCCGTCCATGGGAGGAAGGACCGCATCCACCCCAAGTGGCGTACCATATGTCGCGGCAACAAGGAGGCCGCATGCTCTCGCAGTTCTTCTGCATCTGGAGCTGAGCTTCCTGTCCTCGCGAAGCGCTCGCATTGCTTCTAGCTTCCCATCGAAACGACTTCTCTCGGTGGCTACGGTGTGCCGTATTCTACACGCTTGGTCCAAGTCGCTTAAAAACCACAGCGACAGCTACGGTCTCGCCCAGGTTCTCGTGAGGCAACCCAATGGCAGCGACCTCTGCCACTGTCGGGTGCTCAAAGATGGCCTGGAACAAAAATAACATCCAAAGTCGATGCAGGAATCATTCAAGTAGCTGACACAGTATCATGAGAACAAGATGGTTCATGAGTGGTTCCATTGAACCCACAGTCAGACCCTCTGAGCATCTCTTTCGGCACCTGCTCCACCTCCGCGCACGAGATATTCTCGCCACCTGTCGTTCCCGGTTTTCTGGAGCGACCCCGGCGGACCCGGGACACTGGTCAGTTCCACCCTGCCTCGAATGATGATGTCTTTGGCTCGATCCAAAATGTAAACAAAGTTCTGCTCATCCAATGCCCCGATATCACCCGAGCGAAACCACAACTGGCCATGCTCATCGATATGAAAGACTTCTGATGTTTTGTCTGGCTTTCTCCAGTACCTTACTGTAGCACCGTCGGTACTAGCAAAAATACATGTGTTCCTGAAGGTGAACACGTACTTTTGGGTATGATGCTCCTCGGAGTTGTGAGTTGTGTCGTTTCATGCTCAAAAACAAGCGAACACGACATGTCTAAAACATTCTGCCAGAAGCACTGCCGTACAAGCAGCATGTCCTCCGCCTTATCATCCAAGCTACTCCTTCATGATAGTAGCCCCTCGGAAGCAAATCTCACCGACACCCCCGGGAGGCAGCTTGTGGTTGTTCTCATCCAGGATGCAAACGTTGACGTTCACTGCCGGCAAACCACAGGAGGTGGGTCGTGCAGGGAAAAGCTCAGCCGGCATCACTACACTGACGGCATTGGTTTCCTGAGCTCAGCTGGCAGTGTTTTCAACACATGTTGCTTTCCCCACAACCCTGTTTCAACCGCGGAGACCGTTCTTCTTCATCTGCATGATTTTGTTAAGCGCCATTCTGGCCATCGCAGCTCCAAAATTAAAGTATCTCGAGGCAGGTTGACCATGTCTGCTAATGTTTAGACTCTTGATTCATAAGCCCAATTGTTCATACGGGGGGTTTACGGTCCTCAAGAGTCTACATTAGTCCCCTTTGCTCACTTTCTCGAAAAAAACACCCCGCTTCCTTCCTTTCCCCCACCTTTTGCGCCAAAGCAAAGGCATGAAGCTTCACACAGCAAACCATGAACCACTTGCTTGTGTGCAAGAAAGGAAACACCCCAGTGCACACCCCAACCAGTGCACCACTTCGTTTCTGCTTTGCACCCAAGTCGCCGTGAGCCCATAGCCCGTGGAGGCGCGCGCGTTCTGGAAGGTGTCCTCGTTGTCTTCCGCGGAACCCGAAGAGGCCGGTCGGGTGGTCCGAAGAGGGCGGACGTGGTCCCAGCAACACATTGAAAGATGAAGTAGGTCATAACAGAGTGAAGAAAGAGGTGCGCCTGATGCTGCGCCTGATGCTGCTATATAGATGCTAGTGTTTTTTGGTTAGCCAGTGGCTTGATTTGGATGTCGCTCACATCACCCATTGAAAACCAAGTGGAATGGGATTTACTATGCATTCTAAAGCAAGAATGAGGCCGGGCGAAGAAAAGGTCTCTCTGACTGGGCATCAGCCTGCTCTTGGTCGACTAGGACCATATTTACACGCTGCCCAAGAACAACACACCATGGTGAACTCCACACACATCGCAAGCTCACACATCACCTCTGAAACGGTGCATCGCATGTCTATGGTAAGCTTTTGCCGCATCTGTTCTTCTCTTGTCTCTCTTGTGCCAGTTCACATGGTGTGGAGAGCATTGAGCGACCGCAGCTATCAAAATCAAGTCAACTTCCGCGACAGGGTTCGAGAAATCATTCTACAAATCAGCCTTCTTCATGGCTGAGATGGGAAGGAAAGCATCGCGACTGCATTTACGGATTGCGGTCACCTACAGCGGTACGGCCTTAGCCGACTCGGAAGCGAGAGGACCAATCGGTGTTGTCGCGCCTTTTGATTTGCCAACTCGACCAACACTTACGTCTGTCTTTTTTTGATGCATTCTGACACGTGTTGGACAGATACCGATAGCATCACAAGTATCAATCAGTCTAGACATACCAAAATTACAAAATTACACGGGCATAGACCCGAGACAGCAACTCAAAAAACAAAAGCACCTGGGACAAAAATTCATTGAGTAGCCAAATAAAGTCAGAGAAGCAGGGAGACAAGTCAGGAGACAAGGTAGCAGCGGCAAACAAAACGCCGATCAAACAAAACAAGTGGGGAGACAAGTATGGAGACAAGGCAGCCGCAGCAGACAAAATCGCCAAAACAGACAGGCAGACAAGTGGGGAAACAATGGGAAACATGTCAACTCAGATCATGCAGACAAAAAAGTGCAGAAACAAGTCAGGCAGGCAAGCGGGGAGACAAGTGGGGAGATAAATGGGAAGGGCGATCACACAGGCAGATATATAAGATTACACAAGTGAAGAGACATGTGAGGAGACAAGTGGGGAGGCAAGGCAGCAGCGGCACAGCTGCGGCAAACCAAAACGGCGATCACACAAATCACACAGGCAGACAAGTGGAGAGACATGTGAGGAGACAAGTGGGGAGACAAATCAGCAGTGGCACAGCAGCCGCACACAGCAGCGGCAACACCAAAACGGAACACAGGCACCCACTCATTGAGAAGTAAGAACTATAACTATAGCTATCGCTATCTGGTGAAAAAGAGCCAAACATGTCAGGCATAAGGAAAGTCGCCCACGTTCATTTTGATCATCCATAGGACAAGCGTCTGCTCACAAATTAGTGTTCATGTTTGACCATGAGGATCTTAAGATAAGTGCCTGTAATTGAGTGTGGGCATAGAGCTGACACGGAGCGGCATGGAGACGGAGAAAGAGGTGCAGGTATGTTTCATTTTTTGTTTGGGTATCATCCCTTCTGGCGCAGACTAGATATACTGATATACCAAAAATACAAAAAAAAATGGCGATACAAAAAAAAGTAACTTCGTGGGTTGGCTTGATTGAAATGAAAGTGACAGGCTTGGTCAAAAAGACCGAGCCCCAACAAATGGCTCTGGGGGGGTTCTGTCGTGTTGCGGGAGGATGGAGTTGATTTCAGGCGGCCATATCTTGGAGGAATTCCAGTCGACTCTGGGGATAGAGTCTTCGACTCTGAGTTCGTAGCTGTTTTCACCATGGCAACATTTAAACCAAGAAACGAACACCAGTCAGCACCTTGCTTGGAGAAAGGTCACCGACGGCGACCCGGGACACCCTGCTGGCCACCCGGTGACCCGGGAAACACCGCTGACCCTTCTCCTTCACGCGTTTGATCATGGGGGCGGCAAAAGCTGCACCACCACCTCCGACACCAACCATGGAGGAGGTATCATACTTCTTGAAATCCGGATGATTCACCTAGGAATATCGGTGCCAAATGCAAACCAAGGCAAGCAGCTTGGTGAAAGCATCGCTTGGACCAGGCCTTTCGAAAGGCCTCACACTAGAGTCACAAGACATAAACGGAACGCATCTATAGGATCTCCCGTCTAGTCGATGTTCTACATTGTGGATGGTTGGTTCAATGGCGCCATCCAAGGTGCCAAGTCGTAGGTGTTGGTCGGTACACCCACGATGGCTTGTACTTTCTCATCTTCGATCAGCTTCAATGCGCGGCCCGCATCCCATTTGTACATCATCACCAGTTTCTCACCTAGCAGCGACAAAAAAGACACCGGCGAGTCTCCAACAAAACCTGATTGTTTTGAAGATCCCGGTGTGCATTTCCATGGTGAAGTCATGAAAAAACCCTCATGTTGTAGAGATGAAACGCTTATTCTCCAGCCTGAATGCGAGAGTAAAGTGGGGAAATGGTAACGAGGATGATCCCACTTGGAGACTTGAGAAGCTTGAAACTTTTTACAATAATTAGGAAGGGATTGGAACAATCTTAACAACAATGGGAAAAAAAGCTAGTTTTGGCAAGTGAGGAAAGCTTCACAGGACATCCATTCAGCCACACCAGCAAAGCTGGAACATACCGCCAAATGCCTTGTGATATCACGAGGAACCTAGAAGCTTATTCCGAAAACAAGTAGGATCCCTACTCATGGAAGGAGGGATCCGATTCTAGTCCATCTTTCCTTCAAGTCCATTGCTTTCATTTGCTTTCATAACCTACTAGCATAAGGAATCTAATGTCGATGGCCTCCAACCTAAGAGCGATGGCCCCCAACCTACTAGCATAAGGAATCGAGTGCCTTCGTACAATGCGCTGAAAAGAGCGCCGTGGCCCACAAGCACACAAGCACCTCCTTCCTCCCGCCCAAAGAGGGCGGAAACCCCTGGACCCCGCATCCCATTTGCCTCTGCAAATCGAGCCGAACAGGCCCACATGAGAGCCATTCCTCGGTCGCCAGTGACACACTTTGCTCCGTTCATAGCTTCTTGTTCTTAGTAAGTATGGCCAGGAGCCCCGAGCCCCGTTAGCGTCCTTGTTCCTGAAAAAACCTTCAGATTCCAAAATGAAGAAAGGCAGACTCCTTCTCCCAGGGCCATCAGCAGCCGTGGTTCGGCTCCTTCCCACCCAGCGAAGGAGCCGAACAGAGCGCTTTTCGGACGAAAAGCGTCGTCCGTCTCGGTGACCCGCGCCTTTGGATTGGAACCGATCCATGTTCGACTTCTGTTTCCGTTTGAGAGTTTCATGTCCATCTGGTCCATCTATGTTCAACCATTTAACCCAGAGGCCGAGCTTTTATCTCTTTGATATGGATTGGTTCAGGCCTTTTTTTGCACTCCCGCCATGGAAAGCAGAAAGAGCAACACCACATGGAAAAAGCCACCCACAACGTTCCCTGTATCCGCTGCATGCGAGGGACACATGAAACAGTGGGGACGCAAGGATGACGTTGCGCTGTGAGCTTACTTCCTTGCCATAGTTCCAGAGACCTCAAAGCTTAAAGGTGAGGCTGCAAAGCCCAACTTGGCCATTTGGGGCCATGACCAAAAGCCATGGTGTGACACAATCTTTGTTTGCTGCTCAACGTTGACGAAACGACCAGCAGTCACAAGACGGGGTGCCAAACGAACGGAGGAAGTCAGGATGCCCCCGTCACATACACGGCCCCTGGATGGGACGAACAAAACAACCCAGGCCCTCCATGTGACTCCGATCGTATGCCAAGACACTTAACGTGTTGGTCGCGGAACAAATACCTCTATGAGTCAGCACCACTCCTTTCCTGCAAAGGCTCAAGGCATCGCTGTTTGTAGGTGAAAGCCTACAAACACCCCACTCAGCTAAACATGCCAACTGCAATGTTCAAAAGAATCAAACATCAAGTGATGAACGGAAAAAATGGATCCGCTCTCAACGAACCATCGGATCCGCATGACCAAGTCTCGGCATCGCCGTGGTGCCCGAGGTGTACATCAGCATCGCGCGATCCTCGGCGCGGCGCCACGACCGCCGGGCGAACGAAGGGCGGCGAACCCGCGCCACGACCGCTGGGCGAGTCAAAAGAGGCCGGTCACGGTGTCGTTTGACTCGGAGACCGACAACATGTATCTCCCCCCAAAAGAAAGGGCCACTCGTGCTGCTCGTGCTGCTCCGAGGGACATCTTGATCTACTGGACGTCTTGGCAAAGGGTTCAACGATTTGCCCAGAATCACCAGTTCTTCAAAGCGTTGCGCATTCTGCGGTGGTATCCGCGCGCCAGCTCGCATGCACACTGCCGGAATTCCTGAACAAAGGAGCCTAACATGTGTCCTTGTCATACACCCAATTCACTCAAACAACAGGAAGTCAAACTGCGGAGGTTCAGTTTGAGCGTCCCATCTGCTCCAAAAACGGTGCCCTGTCCAAGCGCTCTAAATCCGCGACAAGTAGGCAGGTTTGGGAGTCTTCCAAGCCGTACCTGATATTCGGTCACGCAGATGCATTCAGCTCGCCAAATACCCTCCCTCCAATCAACATGGAACGTCATATGCCATCCACATTCATTATTGGTTGGAGGGTACGATGTTCGTATTCAAAGAAGTCCAACCCCAAAGCTTGCAGCTTCCACCAAAAAAAGGCATTTATATGGCCAAACTGCTTCAGCTCGGTGCCTGTCCACCACGCATTCACCGGCAATGAAACAGCACTTAGGAATCCATTGACCGCAATCAATGTGAAGACCCATTCCTCAGTGAGACGTCGAGCCTGAGCGAGGCCGAGGCCTGCCCGACGCTTGGCAAAGAGACAAACTTCGGCTTTAACGAACGGTGCCAAACAGAGCAGGGCCAAGCAGTCTACCAAATTACTTGAAGGAAAGCATGTTGTGGAGACATGTCGTGGAAGGGAACGTGATGTTCAAATAAACCAGGATTGCTAGCCTGGCATGCCCACAAACAGTATGCTCTGTTGCATATCAAGACTCTGGAAAATTTCTGCCAGCGATCGCAACGCAAGAACCTCAGGGTGTCTAGGGTCTATAATGTCTATCGGGCAAACTAGAGGCTGTGCTGCTTTGCTCAAATTCTATGTTTTACTGTAATATTCTCTCACATGCCTTTTCTCACTAGGCTTCGTGTTCAACGCTTTAGGTACTTGCCACACTTCAGGTCCTTGCTCTCTCAAATTCTAAATCTAGCGTCTTCATGAGTCTTCAACTCTCAAAAAAAAGTCACAAAAAAGAACACCAAACCAACGACCAACCCCCCGCGTGGCCCGGTCGGCCATCCGGTCGACCACTTGAAAAACCGGTGCCTCGCTGCACGCCGTAGGTCTGCGCCAACGTTCGGGACAAGGCCACCGCGATGTCCAACGTCTCACCGTAGGTGAAGCGGTCGCCTTCATAGACCTGGGCCGCATGCGTGCGATTGTGGCCGCGTGCGTTTTGCTTTTCCCAGAAGGCTTTGACATGCTGGAGGGATTATATATATATATATATGTTATATAAGTTTGCCTTTTTGCTCCCCTCTGGCGTTCGGCGTTTCTTGCGCCGGGAGGCCAGGAAGTCCTTGTCCGTGTGTCGAGCGAAGCTGTCGCTGAAGAACTCCGGCAGGGTGTGGCAGGTCAGGCTGTTCGGGCCCTTCTGGTAGCAAAGATATCTCCTCAAACGGGCTGAACAGTTTTCCTGTGTCTCGCCGAGGTCGGACGTAGCCAGACATTGTATGTATATATATATAATTGTACTATATATATATATATGCAAGAAAACATGTGCCCGGGAGAGCATGACAGGCAAACAAGTAACCCGGGGGAGGCATGCCGTAGACTGCACTAAACCGCCGATGGACCGACCTTGGAATTTGTTGGAAACCCTGGGAGAAAGCCAAATGTGACGGCCCCATATTCTCTGGAAGACCAAGGTCAAGGACCTGTCTATTCTCAATCAACGAAAAATGGTCCATGAAGCTGCCTGGACCCCTCGCGAAGTGAACCCAACTCCAAGTCTCTGCGAAGTGCCAAAGTGCTCGACCTCCTCTTCAGCCAGCGGAAAGGGGCCATCAGCAGCCGTGAGCTGCTCCTGAGCTCCTGAGGAGCTGGAGCATGGCAGCTCCCGACAAAAAAACCAACGGATCGACCGTGTGCATGCGTTTTCCCTTTCGAAAAAGACATCCCAGCGGATGGTTTTCTTTCCAACCTGTTCAACTGAGGCCGGATGTTTTTTCCGATCTCAAGACACGACCTAGTTTTGGGGTGGACCGAACACAATACTTACTAGAAACTCCATCCGATCGCAAAGAACATTGATCTGCTGTCAAAATGTTGGGTCGCCGCTGAGGTTTGGGGTCCCAGTTCGATCAAAAGGTTCGAACTGTTCTTGTGCCGATCAAATGCTGCACCTGTGATGTTATGTTGTGTTGATGCAGCAACAGGAATGGACCCGTTTGGACATAGGGGACCGCCAGGAAAATTATTGGTCTATCCATTTCCCGCAACCGTCAGCGGGATGTGCAACATAACCAGAGGGCATAGAGACCAGCTGGTCCCCTAGAGTAACCACTTTCAATGTACCTAGAGTTGTTGGGGGCAGGGCGCAAACGGCCTTGGAACTTGCACATGTCACGCAAGCAGTCACTCACTGAGGGCGTTGTCCCCTCTGTTCCTGGCTACTCGACTCAGCAGCTACTCTGTTCCTCTGATCTAACTTGGAGTAGACCTTCCTCCAAACGAAGCCTCTGAGCAAACAAGCGTCTCCGCAAACTCTCTAAGGTCTTGCTCACATAGGTGTCATCAGTCTCTGGATCCATGGCTGCTTGAGGGTTCGAAGTTGGCTGCCGTCAGTAGTCCAAGTTCCCGTTGGATGAGGAACCGGCTGTGGCCAGAAGCAACGGGGCCCACCTATGCCACACCAGTCAAGAAAAGGTCAACTAAACTTGTGGTACCTGCGTTTCTGGCCATATCCACATACCCACATTCACAACCAACTGAGGTGGAACCGTGCCGAACTTCAGAGGATTCCACTGTTTCGTCCGCGAAGCCAACATGTGTCAGCTCAAGCCCTGTACATGGAAGCACAACGAGTCTCCAGAAGCAAGCCACAAAGGAGATCATGGTCTCTTCATCTAGACACATGACATACCCCAAAAAGAGAGAAACGATGTCCAATGCATTCTTTGAGAGGATGTTTCTTTTTACTGCATCTATTTTTGGAACTACAGTATCTGTGGGATGATTGAAACTTGGCTATTTGTATGGTGTGAAGGGCAACCCTGCAACTGTAGCTTGTTGGGTGAGGGCTCTTGTAAGTTTTGGTGTCCTATCCATTGTCAGTAAACAAGAAGATCCCCCCAGTGTTAGTGCAATGACAAAGTACATTCAGTCAAAAAGATCTGCTAGTTGAACTTGGGGAAGTGCACTTGCGCACTTTCTCGCAAGACCGCTTTCTGGAAACTTGGGCAAAAGCAACGAGACATGGGCCGTGCCCAGACTTTTTGGACAGACAGCACAGGCAAAGCACTGGTTGTCAACGTGATCAAAGCTCGACAAGGTCGTATTTGCGTTCGGCATTCCTGTTGATGCAGTTGTCAATGTCAATCAATCTGTGTCTTGGCCGACTCACCTCGATTGAATTGATACCTAGATTGCATCTGTACGGGGAAACCGCGCGGCATTATGTGCTTGGCAAATGCCTTTCATAGTGCGCGTTCCAATGGGCGTCAAAAATCATCAGCTGCAACCTTCATGATCTTCCCCAAAAGGCTCAAAACTACCTTTTGAGAATAAGAGTCTTCGAGCCTTCAAGAAACAAAATGATGGATTTGATCCCGCACGATTCAGAAGGCTGCACTGAAGTCCTTGCTCGGCCCCCCAATGACTCAAGAGTGGTTGATCCTTGACAGCGGGCGTGAGATGTTCAGCTGTTCACAACATACTTCACAACAGGTGGTTGTAGGTGGTTGTAGGATGTTGTAGGTCATGGCACCGGAAAAAAGAAGACAAGGGAGGATAAGGAAAGCCTGCCTTTACTGGGCTGTGCGTCCAGCCCATCCTACGCCCAAAGCACAACTGACGAGTCTATCGAGGCAGGCCTTTTCTCCCAAAATGCTCATGGCTGAAGCAAGGTGCCTACAGAGCAGTGAAAACGTGGCAACAACTGACAAGCACCGCCGCCAACGTGGCAACAACTGTCGGTGGCTGAAGCAACGTGCTTCTTCTTCCCATCAACCGAACCACCGGACCACAGAGACGGATCGATGAATCGGTGATCTTTTTTGCTTGAAAACGCCCGGATGAGGACAGGACATGGTGAACACAACATATGTCTGTCCTGATGTCCACTTATACTACATTCTAGCATGTCTCAAAAGTTTAGGTTTGCGCTGTAAAACCTCCCATTGATCCCCACAAAAGAACATAGAACATGATTGCTCCTAGGTTGCTCTGCAAAACCATTTCTTAAGGACTCCGCTTGACGCCGTTCTTTCGTTTTCCCCACAAACCGTAGACCCCCGGGCTGCCACACGACTCCCACGAGGAATCGTCCCAGTACCTGGGCGCAGCCAAGACCATGCTGCGTGCCCCGGGGCGTCTGTCAGTGTCTCTCTTTTCCCTCCTGAAGAGAGGTCATCACAGAGTCATCACAGGCATCGTCAACTCAAAAGGACTCGTCTCTCAGAATTTTTCAGGATCGCAGCGATGCTGCGATGCCCTCAAAAGTCCTCCTTTTTCTCAGACCAAAGATTCTTACGACACATCTCCGGCCCTCTGACTGAGTCCGAAGCGCAGACTCTTGAGGCACCGAACGGGAACTCAAACCACCAACCTCAGTTCTTTCAGATTGGAGCGAAACAAGACACTCCATGTAAAATGCAGGAAAGCCACAAATACTTGTCCTGCGAAGCCGGACGGGTCGCGGTGGCATTTTCCGCAACTATGTAACTAATGATAGTGCAGCAATGCGATTCAAAATGACCAGTGGGAGTTCATCCAAACATTCCATCTAGGAAATTCTAGGAACCTAGGGAGGTAGAAATGGAACAGCTTTCGTTCTAAGGAGCGGTCATTCCTACTCGTCATTCTAAGATTTCTTTGTTCTTTCTCGTTCCCCAGTCAAACCCCATGTCATGTCTCGACAGCATGTTCTCTGAAAGGCTCTTCGCCTCGATGTCATTGTCATTGCGCCGCATGACGTATGCGGCCACGGCCGCAGATGCAGCTCCTCTCACCATGTCACACGACTGGTCACCCTTAGAAAACGACTCAAGAGTACTCTGTACACCCTCCACCTGTGGGTCAGCAGCCAGCAGGATTCCCCACAAAAAAACGTACGTCAGCGGCCGGAAGCCCACGTCAGCATGAGCGTTCTCGGACAACGGCGTTTGGGGCGTTTTGTGACACCCCGAAGACTTCAGGTGGGACGAAGAGAGCCTCAAAAGAGCCCCAAACCGAAGAGTCAGAGGGCTCGGAAGGAAAATAATTACACCCCAAGCGCTGGGTTTCTCTCAACTCACTCGCTGCAACCCTTCCTGCCACCGCTGCAAGCACTACGAGTGCCAAGACCTTGGCCAAAGTCTCATCTGTTCCAGTCCACACCAGCTGTGCAACGGCTGCGAATGTGCTGCAATGCTTTACCAGTCAGGTAAAGATGGTCAAGGCTCAAATACAGTACTAGCTTCTGGGTTGCGCCCTCAATCTGTTTATCCTGCGTCTGGAAGCTTCCTCTGTCAGCATGCTGAGTGTCGTGCATTGCCGTCGTCAGCGACAAGGGTGACTGGAGCTGCACCGCCCTGCGAACCAGGATGGTCCAAACAGCACGGTCCTCATGCGTGCGATGCAAATCATGTCCTTCCAGGCCCAATTTGCCTGAACAACAGCACCCTGGTCCAATGGTTGAGGAAGACCGGAGCGCCACTTCTCCCCCCTTTTCGCCCTCCCCAGCGCCTGCTTAGCGGAGCGGATCAGCTCTCGCGTATCCTCAATGGCACGCTGACGCGCATGCTCCTCCTGACGTGTGGTGCGGAAGCAATGCGTGCGAGTGCGGAAGCAACTGCAGCGCAAACCAATAGAGTGTCTTGTCGAAAGTTTTTTCGTTCCATGTCGGCTTCGTGCCATCCGCACTTTCTCTGTTCAGTCCGTTCACCAGGATTGTTGTGGGGGAGCTACAATCAATCAATAGCAAAGGGCATTTATCTGACTTACAGGAACCTGGTACTAAATGCTGTTGGCAAAAACCTTAGCCTAGGCGTTACGCAAGTGAAGCGCCCTTTCCAACCATCGACTCGCCTTCTTCTGGTTTTTGCTGAACTCCCTGTGGCGCTGGACAGCGAGCCACCGTGCGTTTGGTTTTACACATGTGTGAAAAAGTTTGATCGCGTCCTGGTAACTCTCGCTGCAGAAGGTTGAAAACTGCGCTATCCAGAACGTGAAACCTACTACTCTGCATAGGATGTGCGCTTGACAGTGGGAGTGGGTGAAGGATGACGGTAAAGTTCCTGAGGGATGTTGAACCAGTGCTGTTAAGTTCCACATCAAAACCTTGCAACCTCGCTGGTCCCGAAAATTCTGAAATCTGACCCTTTCTTCATATAGATTCTTTTTGAAGGCACCTAATGTATTCTTGACTAATGAAACCCCCCAACCAGAATCGCTTTACCGGTTGTTCATCAACCATCCACTATAATAGATCTACTGCCGCCACCCCTGCTTCGGCCCAATGCCTGGGAAGCTCACGCGCGGCATCTTCCGTCACACGGGCACCTACAAGTAGAACAGAAGCGCGGCGTCTTCTGTGTTCAACGAACCCAGGGCCCCGCAAGGCAGAGCGGGGTTTGTTCCTTCTAAACTAAACATGGTGCATTTTGCCACAAGACCCAATATCTGTTTTCAGGGCTGGGATTTTGTGTATTGTATGCCGTGGTGTGCAAGAAAAAGAAACTAGTAACTATAAGCTTTCATGTACTAGTATGTTGGCATCACGTCAAGCTCCTTACGCATGCCGAAGCGAAATTGGTGGGGACATCGCACTGGTCGCCGGTCCACACGCACCTCGTTCTGAGGCGTCCTGCACCTTTCGCGCTGCCTCCTCCGCAGCACGGTCCATCCTGGTGGTCACAAAAGAGTCGGAAGAGTCAGAGATCCTTCTCCGAGCACCCAAAGTGAAAGTCCAGCTCTGCTGAGTGTTCTCCTATCTGAGCGATCTGAATCCTCCTTTCTTTCAGTTCTGGACTTCGAATGCCGGGCGAAACACTCGGCTCCAGCAAGCGCCGGCGCCAACGACTCAACGACGCCAACGACTCGGATCACCCGGTGCCAGTCGTCAACCTCGACGGGTCGTCGAAAACCAACGGGTGAAGACTGCAGCAGCGTCTCCACCCACGCCCGTCCGGCCCCTCCTCTCCGAGAGGTCGGGCAGGTCATACCTCCGCGCCACCCGCGAGAGGTGGTCCGTCTTGCTGCGCGCCACCCGAGCCATGCGGTCCGCCTGGGAGCCGGTGAAGCTTCAATGGTTTTAGGAGCGATTGGGGCGGGGAGGTCATGTTGGTGAATGGCATATGGGTTTGCCAAACTACCAGCGCGTTGAGGAAAAGTAGTTGGGACTTACACTTGTATAAGCAATGATCCGTGCCCTACTGCCCCCGGCCTGCTCCTGCACATCACGGGCACTATCACGCCCAAGGTCCTCACGCTGGTGCACAAAACACGCAACTAAATAAATGCCTAGAAACCAAGACAAGATCGAGCCAAAGCCAAACAAGCTTGAAATAATGAAATATACATATATATATATAGAGAGAGAGAGAGATAGAGATAGGTAAATAATCATGAATTATATGTGTATACATATGTATACAGTATATATATATACATATACAGCATATACATATATTATATATATATATATCAAAATGAGGGACCTGGCAAACCGTCCAGCAAATGATTTTTGAGACATCCTCAAAGGAGCTCTCTCTGGGTCACTTTACTTATAAAAACAATCTGACCCACCGACCGCAGGGCTTTCTGGAAGCTCCTCAGCGCCCCTGGAAGCATGCTCCAACTCCCGTGCAGTGCGCTGGGACAGCCTCTGCAAGCGTTCGTCGGCCTCCTGGTCGCTCGGACCGCGGGGGTTCCAGTCTGGACTGGACTCCAAGCATTTGCAGTGCATCTGCCACATTCGAAGGGGCGGGCTGGGCCTGACAAAGAGCACAAACCTAACATTCGAAGGTGGAGTAAACAGAGACCAGCTAGGCCCTTTTTGGGCTATGTTCGTTTGGTGTTCAAGACTAGCTCCTCCAGGCCCCCCCCAGATCGAACCGTTTGAAACCAAAACATCCAAAACTGGGACCAGTCTCCTCCATGGCACGCAGAGTTTCTTGGGCAGCGTCCAACCGAGACTTGCCCACCTCAGCAGCAGCCTCCTGCACGGGGCAGCGTGAAAGGGGCGGCGGACCCCCGGTGGGGCGCGTCCCGGCCACCCGTGGGCACAGTCTAGGCCAAGACCTGGCTTCCTGACCCTACAACCCGAAACTGTATAGCAAAACCCTACAGCTTCCCTTAGACCTAATGCCATAGCCACGGCTTGTCCACATCTTCGTCCTCCGGACATCCGACCACGACCCAAAACGGGAGACGACACACGCAAACCCGCGCGCGCGCGCAGTTTGAGAGAACAAGGCGCCGCGCACCGGTTGGACGAAGCCCTCGCCTTCTGAAGGGAGACGAAATGCTCCGAGAGCTCCTTCTTGCTGATGGACAGCTCCGACCTTCCACGCGCCGGAAGAGGACGGGCTGCTCGCTGCGGTTCGGCGGGGAGACTGGGTGCGGATAGGCTTGGCTTAGGCATCGGATGGGTGGAAGCAGCCAGGATGGAAACACCTCCAGCACCAGCTCGCCAGCTTGTGGCCTTTGAAACTTCCTAGGTTGTCGTGTGTCAATGAGGGGTCTGAGCTTTGCAAGCTGGAGTTACCATCCAGGATCAAAGAGCAGGGGATTAAGAGTGAGCAATCTCCCCATCGTACAGGGAGGGCTTTATTGTTCTGATACGCAGAAACCAAAAAACGGACTTGTCAGAGATGTTTGACTGCGTCAGATTGGCAAACCCCTGGAGCAATGAGATTCCAAGGCTTCCAAGGGTCTTTTCTCGGATGTCTAGACTCTAGACAGCCCCGCAGGCCTGCCATAGGTTGGAAATGATATTTCCTTCAGGATCATGCAAGTGGAAAGCCTCCCTGTTAGTAGAGGAAAAGAGTCTTCCAATGGGCCATGCCATCCACTTCCGCATTCATGGGAGGGATGCTAGTAAAACTGGTTCAACAATCCTTCGAAAGGACCTCCCAAGGTGACATGGCTCGTCCCCCAAAGGCAGACACCTCTCGAATCGAATTTGGGACGAAACGAGGAAGTCGGAAGCGTGAAGTGCCGGAACATCTGAACCGAAGCGGTGGAGATGCATCGAAAGGATCGAAAGGATCGAAAGGATCGAAAGGATCGAAAGGATCGAAAGGATCGAAAGGATCAAAAGGATCAAAAGGATCAAAAGGATCAAGATCAAGATCAGCAGCAGCAGCAGCAGTAGCCGGATCGAAAGCAGTATATAGTGTCTCCAGTCGCCCTCCGGGAGAACTGAAAACCCTTATGACGAGCTTCTTCGGATGCAGAGCCTCAACCAGAACTGAAGTTTGTCTCCAGGAGCCCCCGCTCTGCCCGTTGCTCTGCCTCCTTCGCTTTGTCCTGAGGTCGCCGCCGCGATCCGCCCGGAGATCGTGCATTCCGCAGGGTTTGGGCGTAGGATCCGGTGATGAGTGGACACTCCCGAATTGCTGGAACCAATATATAGAGGTATCCAACAAGCCAGGACACCAAAGCATCCAACAAGTTGCCCGGTCCTTTTCAGGACTCCAGAACTACCATGGGTCTGAACTCTTCGCTCCACTGAGCTCCAGGCTGCCAGGGACTTGCGAGCTTTGCTCTCCACCTCATCGCATGCCACACACGTGCGCTCCGTGCACTCTTGGCACTCTTCGCATGACTTCGAGCGATGGTTTTGCCAACGCAACAAAGAAAGAAACGTGCGCAAGCAAGAAATTGGAGACCAAGTCTTTGCAGTTTCTTGCTCACAGTTGTTCGACATTGTCAGTCAGTGATCTTGCAGTTGAGCATCAGAGTTGCCCAAGTCCACAATATCCTGCAGAGCCTTCTTTGCAGACTCTGCAGCACCTGCAAGCGCAGCAATTTTCTATCTTTCAGTGTCCCTCTCGCGCGGAATTGTTGCCTGAGCACACAACAGTATGCAGTAAACGATTTAAACTTTCATACTTCAAGTGGAGGACAAACCCTCTACACGTGATCAAATGATGTTTGAACCTGCAGCCCACACATTACTTGAAAATCATCACAGGCTTTCAAAATTCATTCTGGCACAAACCAATGTGTATACCTAGCAGAATGCTAAGTCTTCACAGGAAAAGGATATGAAAGAGCTGTGGATGCTTCGTGCTGGAAGGTGGTACTTCACCAGACCCCAGTATCGTCCCATCCACAACCAAGGCACCTTGGTACGTCTTTTCCCGCATTTCTGAACTGGGCCTCATCGAACGTGCCCGTTCATGTGTCTTTCTTCAGCAGCAGCAGCAGCAGCAGGGGTGTATCTCGAATTGAGGCCCCAGTCTCTTCATCCTACTAGTTACTAGCAGTCGGACTGAGGGCATCTCCCTTTTTTGAGACATGACCAACTGGGCCGTTGGTGGGTGACAAGGAGAACCTGATCTTAAATCCAGGTGACCTCCATGGTTTCTCTGGATTGTTAGTACCCCCTATAGATGTGGTCACTTCAGCTTCCCATGTGCATCCCCAATCAACCGCAGAGCCCACAAGCCACTGGCCTAGTTGATCTAGTTGTATACATCGGAATCTTGTTGCGGAAACCATTCGGACGTGTTGTACTGCAGTCAAATCGCAAAAATAACGTTCCCACGAAGCCAACTTGATGTCTCAAAAGACTGACGTGCGTATTGTATCCTATTGTATCCAATTGTTGAAAAAGAACCATGCCATACCCCTGACTGAAGTCGTTTGATGCAAAGGATTTATCTGGCTCTTGAAGCACATGGGGCAGTTGGTAGCGTGGATGAGCGACACAAAAACCAGCTCACAGCTCACTGGTGACTGGTGTGGTCTTCCATCTTGCTTCCAACTGTAGCACTTGGACCCATTCCAATAGACTCTGATAGCCAGGAGATGTTAAGAACAGGCCTCAACTCAACGACCTTCATTCATGGAAGTTCCACTGTTGGACAGGTGCGTCTTTCATGTCACCCCAAGGCCCGGTCCAAGGCCCCCACGTGGTTTCCACACCGGCACTGGCGACGAAGGTCACCAGGCCAACCAAAAGAAGATCACGCAAAGCAGCCATGGCGATGAAGACGAACCGAACCTCTGTGATGGAAGGCGAACCTCTGTGATGGAATAGCTGGGTATTCATGACTTTCCCCTATCATTGGCCTATCAAATTTCCGCCTGGGAGCCAAAGACATGCGGGAAAGACCAGGACATGCGAATCAGAATGCGGGAAGACGAGGTCGCCGACAGGCCAAAAAACATTTAAAAGGCCCAGTTGATCCACTCGCAGCTCAAAATGTGCCAACACCTCTCCAGTGGCATCATGCTTATGTGAGGTCATCCTCAGGATCTGATGCCTTAAGCCTCTTGGTCATGTGTGCTTTGACCTTTGCTCATGTCCACCTTTTGATTTGCATGTGGATTCTTCAGGCCGTGGCTCAAGCCAGGGATGTATCAAACAAACCATCCTAGATCTGTGAGACATAATCGGAATCGCATCCCATATACTCGGCTTGCGACACATTCCTCAGAATGCAGCTTCCTTCATGCTTCGTGGAAGAAGCGAGTGGAAGAAGCGACACGGAAAGCACTCAGGTACCAATAAGTCTCGCAGCCTTCTCTGCTATCATCACTGTAGGCACATGCGTATTCCCGGAAGTGATTGTTGGCATGATGGAGCAGTCAACAATGCGTAGACCCTCCAAACCATGCACTCTCAGCTCATTATCCACCACGGCTTCTTCATCACTGCTTGGACCCATTTTGCACGTCCCAGCTGGATGATAGATGGTCTCCGCCACCCTCCGGGCGTGGTCCAGATTGGTCTCCGCCGGTGGATCCACCTCCTCCGCGCCGATCTCACGCAGCAGTGGGTGCTGTGCCACCTCGCGCGCCAGCTCCAGGCTGCGCAGCGCCAAGCGCTGGTCGTGGTCCGTGGACAGATAGTGGGGGGAGATGCACAGCGATCCATCCCGGCGCAGCGCCACCCGTCCTCGGCTCTCGGGCCGCAAGATGCACACCGAGGCGGTGAAGGCATCGAAGTCATCCAAGTGCACTGCTGCCGTGCCCTCCAAAGCTCGAGTGCTCAAGGGTTGGAAGTGGAACTGCAAATCCGGCGGCTTGGACCGTGTTGTGGCCGTGACGTCGCAGATCCGGCTGGGCACGAAGGCGCAGACCTGCGAAGCGGCCATGGACACTGGACCGGAACGATTCCAGAGGAACTCCCAGCCGCATCGCCACGCCGTGGGGCTGGACATGGCTTTTAGCCACCCCAGGTAGCCGCCCTGGACAGCATACTTCACCAAAGCTCCCACCTCTGAGTTCAGGGTGGGAGTGCCTCGCACGCGGAACTTGGGCCTCAACTGCAAATGATCTTGCAGATTTTCCCCAACCCCAGGCAAATCATGGACACACTTCACACCAGCTTCCTCTAGCTTGGCAGGTGAACCGATGCCGTTTTGCAGCAAGAGATGTGGAGAGCCCAGGGCGCCTGCGCTGAGAACCACTTCTCCAGCAGATACTTCTTGTCCGTTGACCACCACTCCGGTCACACGCTGTCCGTGAAGGACCAGACGTTCCACCTGAGTCTTGCAGTAAATATGCAGGTTGCTTCGTTGGTGGCGGACTTCGTGCAATGGCAAGGCACTGGAACAGCGGAAGCCACCCGGCGTTTTGAAGTTGGAGAAATATGCCACTCCAGCACCTCCCTGTTGGTCTCCCGCCACGTCACTCATGTCGCGCACACGAGGAACCTGGCAGACCTCAGCACAGGCCTGCGACCAGCGTTCCGACAGCTCGGTGCGGTAGCTGTTCCCCGTCACAGACATGGGGCCGCCTGAGCCGCGGAACGTGGGGGTGTCGGGGGCCGCCTCGCCGAGGTCCGAGAGCTCAGGCGGCGCGTCTTCGGAGGATTGGAAGTGGGGGAGCAGCTCCTCGTAACTCCATCCAGGATTCTGCACGGCCCAGGCGTCATAGTCCGATTGCAGGCCTCGCACGTAGAGCAAGCCATTCAAGGACGACGAACCACCCAAGACCTTGCCACGAGGCCAGGCTAAACTGCGTCCACCTAGGCCCGTCGTAGGCCCATCGGTCTTCCACATCCAATCGAAATCAGGAGTCCCAATGGCCTTGAAATAGAAGACGGGCACGTGAACCCAAAGCGCATTATCTTGTCTGCCCGCCTCGATCAGCAGCACCCGGCAGCTGGGATTCGTGGACAAGCGATATGCCAAGTGAGCACCCGCACTGCCAGCACCGACCACCACCACATCGTAGTGTGAGGACTGGCCGGCGCGAGGCTGAGAGATGGGCCAGAAGGCACGAAGGGTCGAGCCCAAGCGCAAGGCGCGCGTAGAGCTGCCCATGACGACGAAAGCAAAGCAAAGCTTCAGTTGGGATCTGTTGTATCCTTTTTTCCCGCTGGCCGCATGCTTTAGCTTGACACTCAAGGTATTTGGGTCCTGAAATCCCCCATAGTACACCTGCATCCAGGGTGAAGGATAATTGGTAGAGGTCAAGGTTGCTTTGCATGCGCTACTAGCTCTATGGTTGGAATCCGCTTGTTTTTTGATACAGGGATACATGGTATGGTAGTTGCTGCCTTCTCCAGCTCTGGCTGTGCTTGTGTAGTTCGCTGATTCTTGCTGTGTGCAGTGGTTGTTAGGTCACAATAAGCTTTCTTGATCCTGGTATTGTTTCATCTGACTGTGCTGGGAAATAGTGACAGATTCCTTCACTGTAAATTCAATTCATGTCATTGAGTTCCTTCCTGGCACAAGGAAAACTGCAAGATCTGCAAGCTTGGTAACAGCCAGCAAAAACGGCAATCCAGTTCATAGTTGACGCGGGGTTCATCTTCAGCCCACTTCCGCTGGGGCATCCTTCTGTTTTCAGTTCCTTCCTACTTTCATCCCCAGGAACAGGAGGAAAATATAGTGGACTTACCTGCTCGTCAATCACGCCAAACACGATCTTGCAACTCTGATCGACTCTGATCTTTGGACTGCTTAAGCTCTCGAAAACACACCTGTTTGTAAGCGTCTCAGAAGGACATGCTAAAAAGGAGACAATGCCACACAAGACCAGACTGGACAAAGACAGCTACCACTTCCAAGCTGTCGGCAAGGTCTATGGGGAGGAAATCTCTCCCACGTCTACCCCTTTCCGCTTGTGTTCGTTGTGGAAGAAGCGACTTGACGCCCGTTCCCGGCGGGTGGAATGTTGCCCAAGGAGGAAAAGAAATACACGCTCCCATCAAATCATCATGGTGGAAGTGGAGAGAGCGCATGGCCCCGAGTTCGCATGACCATGAAATCTGTTCATACCACACAGGCGGTGTTCACTCCGCTTCCATGATTCTTTCAGCAATTATTGATCATAGGGATTCACAGGGAACATTCAGAACTGACGGTCCTTGAGGGAGTCGCAGCATGATGTCAAGTGCTGCCCCTCGTCGGTCCCACGAGTGCGAGTGGGGCACCTTTTGGTCTCAACAAGTGCGACACCGGTGTTTAGAGCAACTGGTGCCTTTCCACTCCAAATCGACAATCACCGGATAATGGTCCGAAGGGTTCAGCAAACATGGCTGTACATCCTCTAAAGCATCCTTGCTGGATTTGAAGCGTTTGGGCTCAAAGGCATGCGACCGGAACTCAAAGAATCCCGGGTTGTAGAAGATGTGGTCAATCAAATAGTATGCATGAGCACCTATCTTCTTCGCCTGTGCCGACAAGGGCCCCCGAACCTTGTTGGAGGTCACGGGAGGATCCAGCTCCGGCCGCTCCGCCGGCACCACGGCCCCTTGGGGGTCAAAGAAGGCGTCCCAAACGGAAGCACCCAGCGCCTGCCGCAAGACCTGGGGAAGCGGAACCGCTCCGGGGAATGGAGGCCTGTGGGGGTGGGTGGCCCCAAACCACCTGGCAGAACCGGGAAAACACCCGCGTGCTGCACCGTCGTTGTACCGTCGTGGCACCATGCTGCTTTTGGGGCGGAGACGAGCGAGAAAACGACCGATCAGACGTATTTCAGGTCGACACCCCACCCCGAGCGCGGGACGGTCTGTGTTGAAGCGCTGCTCCACTCCAGAAGTTTGAATAGTTCTCTATTTTTGTCGAATGTCCAGGCCCCCAGCACAGAGTGCGTATGTGCGTGGAGCCTTTCTTTCTCGGGAGAGTAAGGCCTGGTTTTGAGGTACGTGTCACATCCCAAAGGGCGATGCAATATATGATATATGGCTCTTCCAACCCAAATGGAAAGATCAATACTGGCAACACCGAGGACCGTCTTCGAGTTGGATGCTACCAAACCTAGCACACCATGCCGCAGCATCGCATCGCCGCCCCTGGCCTTCCATGAGCTTTCGCCCCCCGCACGGATGGCTGGATGCGAATTCGCATCCAAGCCTGGGCTCCACGACATGGCCCCACGACTCACTGAGAGTGAACTACTCATCAATCCCATCCCATCCCCACTACTCATCGATCCTCACTGAGAGTGAAAGAGGAAGGACGCAAACCATCACAAACCCACTCTACTTGGAAATTCTTGATCAGTTCCGACCATTCGACCCCTCGTCCCAACCCAAAAACAGAACGAGAGGCAAAGAATCACCGCGTCGCCCAGGTCCTGTGCCCTCTGGAGCGCATGCACCAAGCCTCCTGGGATGCGCCGCGGGGCCGGAGGACCGACCGGTCCGGGTGGCTGGCGGAGTCACTGACATCACATCCATGGAAGTCACGGACTCATCGAAAGCATCTGATTGAAATCAAAACACTCCGGAGCTGAAGAATGCTGAAGTGTCTCAAAACATCAAGAACGCAAAAAGCACAAACAAGCTTTAGCCTTAGAGAAGTCTATGAGTCTGTGAGTCGGAACAAATACATAGTCGATAGAAGTGAAACTGTTTCATGATTCAACACCAAAGTCGAGGCAGCTATAGATTGCTAGATAGGCGCAAGAGTCGCAAGAGCTATGTACGCATTTTCATGGTGCTGCTGGTGCCCCGCAACAGGTTCTTTGGTACAAACGGTACAAACATGTATAAGCAAGCATGCAACTTGAGGCAAAGCCGCATCACAATCTCCTAGCTGTTTGGTACGGTAGTCACGCCTTCGCAGTTCACTTCACGCTTCAACCTCTCATCCTGGCAGCACACATTTGCTCGACAACACACATCTCAAAGTTCCAAAAATTATACATTTCCCCTTCCCCTCGGTTTGCCAAAATCAAACAACCACTTCATAAAATGCTGGTCATGCTAAATGCCCAAGAAAACAAGCTTATGAATTGATCATCTCAGCTGCCAGTCGTGGTTCCCAATCTGTCTCAACTGCTTCCGACTGGGCTTGCACGATCCGCACCTCGTCCTGCAGAGTGTCCCCAGAACTCAGGTGCGTACCCATGACCACAAAGGCTGCAGTCTCCTGCTTGTCCTCACAGGTGGCTGGAAGAAAGGATGCTCTCAAGGCCCGGAAGAACCCTCAAGTGGAACATGAACGCAAACAATCGGCAACAAGCTGGCCTGCGGACTTGGCACTCTGCACCCATTCCCAACATTGGGTAGATTCGGGTTCATGAGTCGCCTCCATCTGCAGCCCAAAACCTAACAAGCAATGGAGGCCCACCAGATCCGTCGGGACCCGATCGGGACACCCTGCCAGAAGGGACGCTGCTCCGGCTCCACGCCAGATCCGTCGTCCGGAATCCGTCGGAATCCGTCCGGAATCCGTCGGTCCTGCAACTTCACCTGGACGATGCCCTTGCCTCCTCCTCCGCCGCGTGGAGCGGGCGATGCACGCGAGGGATCGCACCGAGCGCTGTTCCGAGAAGGCCACACGAACGAAGGGAGCGGACCTGCTGGAGGTGCAGTGGAACCACACGGGTCCCGTTGCAACCAGACACCGTTCAGCATGAAGAGTTGTAGAGTTCCAGGACCCAAACCGTTCGACCTTGGACTAGCAGGGCTCATGGGCCCTGTATTTCCTGTCGACCAACATCAAGGCTTTGTCGTTTCCGCTGCCTTTTTTCCCCCTTTAGCCCCTAGAACTTCGGCCAGCGAATTTGGTTAATTATGCCAGCAAAGACCTCAAACAGTTTCAGCACGAGTTTTTGCATCAATTCCTGAAATTCCAATGTTGGTGGAAACATCTGAAATCACTGCTTTTTTCGCCTCCAGCTGTTTGGGAAACAGTGTGTCCACCTAGACCAAAAGCGACTTTGGGGGAACAGGATGATGACAACTGACAACTGCATCACTGCTGCATGACTTTCGGACTTCCGGCCACAAGAAAGCAAGCCCAGGACAAGGCGGTGGAGATCGGGAAAACGGCGTGGCCCTTTTTAAGGGACCAACCCACTGGACAAGGCGGAGAAGAAGCATCCACGCCTGGATACGGCTGCAGGGTGAGCTCGAGGGCTTCCAAGCGCGAAGCCTTCCAGAAGATGGCCACTCCCATGTCGTCCAAGCTTCTAGGATCCTGGGCAGCGTGCGACCGAAAAAAAGGGGCACGGGGCACGTTCAGGGGGGGTTGAGGTTTCTCACATTGCATGAGGTTCGGTGTCTTCTTGTGAGGTGTGAATGTGAGAGCTTGTCTCGATCGATAGATTGAAGCCGGAACTCAATCAGTGCAGCTAGGACAAATTGCCGGGGAAGAGATGAAGCAAGCAGCCAAAATAAAACACATGTTGAAAAAGAAGACCCAAGAAAAATGTGTCATTCGGTTTGGATGTGATCTTCACTTGGTTTGTGATCCTTCTTCCCTCTTCCCGCATCTCATCTCATCTCATCTCGATCCTCCAATCCAGCACTCTCAAGCAGCTGCTGCGCTTTGCCAGGCGGTAGCACCTGAGACCAATTGCCTGAGCTTCGCGCCGATCAGAGCGAATGCCACAAATGAATAAATGATAACTTGCTTCAACCCTAGGGCTTTGGGGCTCCATCAACAGCATGTCACCATGTCTCTACGGACCCCTACAGGACTGAAGAAACGACTCATATCTGGAGGGACAAGCGCATGGGACGTGCCAGCCAAGAACTTTGCCGGTTCTTTTCTTGCCTCGTGAACTCTGCCGCCCAAGACACGTTGGAGACCGCCCTTCTTTGGATCCGTCAAGCGTTCTTTCCACTCAGGACCAGCGGCCTGAGGGCCATCGACGAGAAACTCACGACGTGCCAACCACAACGAACGGCCATGCCCATGTCTCGAACGGCCGGTGGAGTCACCGATGGCAGAGCCACCTTTGGCAAAGCATGTCTCTCCATGGAGTCTCCATGTCTCCTCTTTATTTGGGGCCCCAATCGAAGTGCTTGCTCCAAGCAAACAGCCGAACCTAAACACACGAGCGAAACCACCTCCTTTGGGCGCCCAGTCCACACTCCTTTTTGCGCCTCCAAGATCTTCATGCCCAGCCCACGCTGCATGAAGGTGTGAAGGGAGATCGAGCCCAGGTGAGGCAAAAACGCATAGCCTTGCTCTGGCTCGGCCCAGAGCAGCCGGTGCAGTGGTCACTTGGGGAGGTGCCCAGTGATACGAACATCGCCGTTGGAAGGTTGTATTAGATATATATATGTAAATAAGATAGAGAGAGAGAGAGAAGGATCGATATATAGGTAGATGGATCAAAATGTCACAGACCAAAAGACATGGCTGGTGCCTATTGTTGGGATTCTCCCACATTCAATCCACTGTACTGGTTCAAATGAGAATCGCCTTAAAGGTTTAGAAGACATGAAGGACTGTAAAAAGTTAGTTATTCCTCTAAAGCACATTGTTCCATGCGTCTTTCATTGGGTGATGTGCGTCTCACATCTTGTCTTGCCTCACTCAGTAAACATCATCCCAACTATCGTCCATGTTAAGTCACACCATGTGCAAAGGTCCAGCCGGTGTCTTTTCCCTTTCCAGGGTAGTTCCAAGTCGGGTGACAGTGTGAAACCCCAAAAAACCGCCAATCGGCTCCAGTGGTGCCAGTTGCGGTTGGTGCTCTGGTCACTCCATCATCATTACCGAATATGCAGAAGGACAAGGCCCTCTTCAAAAGAAGTGTGGACCAAAAGGATACCCATACCTTGGTCTTTGCTTCAGATCTACTAATCTTGGGCAGAAATGCTCACCACACTGGCCTCGAGCAGCCCAGGCTTCTGCAAAGCTTTTGCTGCTGGCAGGCTCTTTGTCGCTGAAGCTGTCGAGCAAGGCAGGACGGTACTGAGGATAGTCCTGCATCGTGTTGCACAAAGAAAATCGTACCCAATCAAAAGTGCGTCGTGCTTCAAGTAGATCAGTAGCTGTGTCACCTACAGTGGCTTCGGCCATGTTTGCCGGTATATATATATATACATATATACCTTGATCAAGTTGCCTTCTGGCTCTTCTAAACACGCAGCGTGTCCTTCTTGCACTTCTCCAGTTGTGACTCGTAGCCCAGACTCCGCAGCAGACCCAAGAACTGGTCATAGTGATCCAACTCGGCTAGGACCACAACGTCTGGGTCGAAGTTCTCAATGAGACACATCATCTGCAGCTTTCGAGCCTCCCAATCAATCACGGCACGGGTGTTTTCAGCCGAAGCGCTGCAGGTATACTTCCTTTGACACTCCTCCAGCAAGCTGGGTTTTCCTTTCGCTTCCATCATCTCTGCCAACAACGCCGTGAAGTCCACTTGCCCGCCCTCAGCCGTGGGCACCGCCCTCTCGGGCACCGGCCAATCTGCCAGCACGGGCCGCACCAAGAAGCCGTCGTCGGACATGGCATCGGCCAAGACGTTGTACTGCATCACTCGCAAGGTGGACGTCGCCCTTGGAGGAGAAGCCTTCCACATTGAAGCTTCCACATGTCGTTCGGCCACCTGTTGCTCTTTTTTGAAAAAAAAAAAAAAAAGGAGAGAGTGCTTTTGTGATGACTACTCTTCCAAAATTCAGCAGGACAGGAAGAGCAAAGCAACCTGTAGAGGGAAAAAATGTGTCCAGTACACCATGCTTGTACTTTCCTCCCACACAAAGGACGCAAGGAGTGGTTGTCCCCTGCAGCTCCATGGAAAAACCCACGCGAACTGTGGCCACCAACGCAAATCGTGGCCACCAACGCAAACCGTGGCCACCAACGCGACGCGAAGACCGAAGACCGAAGACGACCTGCAGCTCCTTCAATCGTGCACATCGCAAAGCTTGACACGCCATGGTTTGGGCAAGTGAAGGATTGCGTGTTCAATGCCACCTAAAAGAAATGTTCAGCTAAAACCACATTCTCGGTCACCATGGAAAGACTGCGTTCCATGAAGTTGGACTACAGGTTGAGAAGCACAGGGTCTTCCAAACAGACCAATTCTTTCAGCGATTGCAAGCAGGTGCTCAGCAATCTATTACACAAGAGCTTGATCTCCAAGGCTGAAGCAAAGCAGCTGATTCCATCAACTGAAACGAGCAGTGGTGGTTTTCATTGCGACAAGAGCTGCATGACTCGCTCTTTTCGGTCGTTTTACATCACATGGTCAGTCGTCGGATCCGCATCTTTCCACCACTTGGCCTACAGACTTGAGCACGAATGAGAAGGCATGAAGCAGCCACCTTCTATTATCTTCTATACCTCCCAAACAGGGAAGTCTTGGAAGAAGACTTTTTGCAGAAGACACACAGAAGGGGGATTTAAATTAAGGGTTTGCAAAAAATCCATACAACCCTCCCGCTCAACCTCGAAGATCTCGCTGGACCTCAGGCGGCTGGGAGCGCCACTGCCACTGCGAGCAGTGGTCAGTCGTCAAAGGAACAGGTTTTCACCCAAGGTCGGTCGGTCCCTGATTTCATGCTACAGGAGCTATATCATCATCTAAGTGGTGTTTGCAAGGAAAACAAGTATCACCCAAAAGCTTGCGAAGTGTTGAAAATCTGCATGCAGAACTCGTTCGGTGAACGGATCTTTCTTCCCATGGCCGCCTTCTTGTCGAGCAAAGCTCGCTCTCCCCCTTGCGCTCTCCCCGGAGCTGGACGGAGCTCTCAGCTCCCAGGAGCGCGCCACGTGGCGAGCCAACTGCAAGTGCTGCCAGGGGTGAGACACCAGGGAGCTCCTTAAGCAGAGCCAAAGCCAGCAGGAAGGCCCATGGCTCTTAGCATTTTCATCTCTTCGTCTTCTTCGTCATCTCCATCTCCATCTTCACAATCCTTCTTTTCTTCATCCTCTTTCTCATCCTCCTTGTCATCGTCCAGGCCGGCAGCAGCTCGCTTTCTCTTCTTTTTCTCCTTCTTTCTCTTCTTCTTCTCCTCCTCTTGTTCCTCCAGGGCTTGGATTTTGGCAGCAACATCCTCCACCTCCGCTTGCTCTGTCTCCTGCTTCAAGGACTTTAACTTGTCCTTGATTCGATCTACGCCGATTTTTTCAACCTTCATGTTCATCCCCAGATTTCGGTTGTGTCTGCGGCCATTCACATGCTCCAAATAGGAGGCGGAATCCTTGATCAAGCATTCACACACAGAGCACCAGTAGCCACCCTGCAAGGGCTTGATCGTATGAGCCGTGACGACCTTCATTTGGCCCAAGTTCTTGTCGAGCTCTAATTCCGCCGTTCTGCGCTTCAGGAATGTACGCTGAGAGGAGGGAAGTGGAATCACGGGGTCCTTTCTTCGTCCAATGCGCTCTGGACCAAACATGATATTCTGCTTGGCTTTTTCCAAATAAGCATCTTTGTCCCAAATCTTTCGGCCCATTGCGTCGGTCGCAGCCTCTTCATCTTTCTCTTCTGCTTCGGAGGCCATGTTTCCGCCCCCAAAACAACGCTCGACCTAATTACTGGGCAAAAGAGGGGGCGAGCTAAGAATCACTCAAGCCAAGCTCTGGCAGACCACACAAATCCTCTGTCCTCTTTGATACGAACCCACTAGCAAAAGATAATTCCACTGAAAGAGAAATAGGCTGGCGGCAAAAAACATATCTATATAATCATATCTAATTCAATCTTTTCAACTGTGACGCACTCAAAGCTGAGCCGAGCGCGAGATGACCGTGAACTGGGTGTCCACCTTGACTCGGTCGCTCGGTGACTACCCTTTGGTCACGTCACAAGACTGGAGGCCGGAGAGAGAAATATCCCCAAAAATCGCGTTGCAAGACCTTGTACCCCAGAAAGCTGTAGAGCTCCCTAAGAGGGCTCCCATTTGGGGCTCGTCGCCTCACATCGAGGCGGTCGCATCCGGCGCCGTGGGCGTCGCGGCTCGGCCGAAGGGAGCGCGTTCTAAGGCCTCGGAGCGTCGCATCGGGCTCACCACAGGTGGGCAATAGACTCCATAGACAAGCCCATCTCACCTCTATGCTATATGTTTTTCATTCTAAATGAATCAAGAAACATCTAAATATAGACTATACAGAGGACACAGAGTGTGTGCGGAGTTACTTCATGGGCTTCCATTGCAGAAGGAAACCAATTCCTGAAACCTGTGTGAACAGCTTGGCGCCAGCTCGGTTCCCAGCTGTTCGGAACACTCTTCTGGCATATCATCGGCACATAGCTCTGGCATAACCTCAGTGAGTGCAATTTGAGTAACCTCACAAGGGCATGGCCTTGGACCCGTTGAGAGCGAACCGCTGAGATCCAAATGAGCGGCGTTTAGCACTTGGGGGCGTCCCCACTGGGCCCCACCTGTCGATGGGGTGTGTACTTGAGGAGGATGACAGCCCAGTTTTGGTGTGGAACACCAAAACTGGCCCAGCATCCATTGTTTGGGGAGTCTTCGAATCCACGTGCCCATGTCTCTTCTCTTTGCTTTTGTTTTCAAGGCGCCCACTTTCCGACTAAAGACCCTTTCTAACGGCCTGAGATCCGAAAGTCCTCTCGTTCGACCTGGGCGGCCCTGCTGCTGTATGGCATGGTTGATATTTCACCTCTGCCAAAAGTGCCGCTAAGAGCTCCAACTGGAACCTCCGAGCTGCGGCCAGGGAAGGGCTCCAGGCCAGAGCCCGAAACCGTCCCCAAATGATCTGGATGAAAGAAAGTTGATGCACGCGTTCGTTTGGGGCCCCAAACTCTCTGTCACAGTCGCTGATCAAACCCGAAACCCTTGGCGTGCCTGTCAATCATCACGCACAGGCTGATGTCCTGAGCAGGCGAAACAGTGGTGAACAAGACACCAAGGCGTGACACCAAGGGATGCAAAGGTCACGACACTTTCGTCCACACCAAAAGGATTGCAAATCTCTGCGGCCACGTCGTCCTTGTGGAACATCCAGCAAGCGAAGCATGGTAAAAAGTCGTTCCGCATGGCAAACTCTGAAAACCAAACAAGAAAAGAACCAACTTGGAGCTTGCTGTCCAGCTTGTAGACAACGTAGCCAATCGATCCACCTGATAAGTCCGATTTCTCTTTCGAAAGCTGACATCGACATCGACATCGGCGAAAGTGCGTCGGCGATGTGTGTCACTGCGCACCCAGCAATGGTGTTGCAAAATGGAGCGTGGGCACCTCAGCACTTGGACGAGTTTAGCTGGTGCAGGAGAATACACCAGCAAAGTGCTGTGCCTCTCATAGGCAAACTACCTGGAACCTTTTCCTGACCACCATTTTGCACTACCAAGCCTCTAGTCTATGGTCTTTTGGTATCAAAAAGGCGTCCATATCGGCTACTGTATATGTTACATGTGCTCTTCTTTTGGATGAAAACTCAACTTGCACCGAGTGCAACTCACTGCGAAACAGGTGTTTTGGCTAAGAGCCTAAGAGCGGTGCTAAAGCGACGGGCAGAATGCTCAGCCAGAGCTTCATGAGGAGAACATTGTGTTTCCTTGGTGGCACCGACACACCAGAAAGAGAGAGAGAGAGAGAAGAGAAAGAAAAAGGGGGGAGGGAGGGAGATCCGGAGACGGCCCTGATATTTCTCGGGGACACAACGGGGACTAAGAACTCGATCAAAGGATTTATCAGTTTTCAAAAAGAGAGTCCACTCCGACTCACAGCGCGCTCTCGATGCGCATGCGGTGTGGACCATCCCATCCCAACTGAGTGGCTGGTAGCTCCACGGCTCTGGCGTACTGCGGATGCATTCAATGCCTACGACACGAAGCAAAGGAGCGGCTGGGCATCGTTGTGCCATTGGAGGAGTGAGGTTCGATCAAGGGACGCACCATTGGGTGCTTTGTTGGTCACGTCTATCATGCACCATCTAAGTTGGACGCAAGGGAAAACCACTGGACATGGTTTCATATGGCCTGTATGCCCTTTTTGTATTTAGCAAGGATGAGAGCATCATTGGAGTTGGTACGGGCGACTTGCAAACACCTCGTTCATGTGCTGTCCATGAAAACCAATGCTTGTCATGTTCAAAAAGGAACGTCGGTAAATGACCAAGCGAAGGAAACACGAAAAGGCCTTCGATGGTTTGGACCAAGTTATTGATCTGGTTCTGCATCGCAACAACCTCATCGGCGAGGCCAGCCCCGGCAGGCAGAAGAACAAACTAGAACTGTCCCACTTTTGCAAGTGGTCTTGTGGTATGCAGGCCTCTTGGCACGCCGCTCCGGGATAGGATGATTTGTACTACGCATCACGGGTCCAAAAGGGGTCCCAAGTGGGCCGCCCCTTTTGCACCGGATCCGGCTTCCCCTCCGCACCCACCGGCCGACCATTTCCGGTCGGGTTTTTGATTTCTCTCGAAAACCGTTTCCGATATAATATACACATATATATATATATATGAACCCATTCAACTTGCTGCCAGCGAAACTTCGGCCATTTTCAACTGGTGGTGCAAGCGCCCCATTTGGGGCCAATCCATGATCAACGTCAACTGCA